CTGCACACATTCAAACCAAACAGAACCCCAGAGGAGGGGAAGTGCACACAAAGTCACACACCTAACTGAGAAGCTATTTTCAGTCAACACCTACTGGGAGAAAGAAACTCAGTTTTCTCCAAAGGAGTGTCACTGGGTATATCTGGGTACATCAACCGTACTCAAGGGCAGGCCCCATGACCTGGAGTAGATGACCGATACAAAATGGACTCTCTCTCTCTCTCTCTCTCTCTCTCTCTCTCTCTCTCTCTCTGTGTGTGTGTGTGTGTGTGTGTGTGTGTGTGTGTGTGGTATTTTTTGTCTTATTGGTTTTTATTTTTTTAATTTTGTTTTAGGTTTTTTTTGGTGGTGTTTTATTTGTACATTTGTTTTGTTGGTTTTTTTGAGAGAGGGAAAGACAGAGAAAGAGAGACCATGAACTTGGATGAGTAGAGCAGTGGGCCTAGGAGGAGTTGGGAGAGGGAAAACTATATAACTAAAATATTATCATATGAAATACAATAAAAAAATAATTTGTGGGCCTGGGGAAATAAATAGCTCAGTCAGTAAAGTGCTTGTCATACAAGAACAAAGGTCCTTGGTACCCAGGTAAAGAGCCAGATATGGCCTCATGAACCTGTAATCCCAGTGCTAGGGAGGCAGAGACAAGAGGATCTCTTCAGCTTGTAGGCCAGCCAGGATAACATAACTGGTGAGCTTTTGGTTTAGTGAGGGACTAGCCTTTAGTCTCAAAGAAATAAGGTGGAGAAGTATGGTGGTTTGAAGGTCAAATGTCCCCCACGGTCTTTGACGTTACAATGCTCAGTCTTCTGGTCTTCCATTGAAGGCCCTGCTTGGGGAGGCTTAGGAGGTGTGGCCTTACGGTAGGAGGTGGAAGATGAGCATTTAAAAGCTTGTACCAATTCCAGTTTGCTCTCTCAATTTGGTGCTTTGAGATGGGAGCTCTCAGCTTCCAGCTCTGTCCTCCACATCTTCTGTCTGCTGTCCCTACCATTATGGGCTCTCGCCTGCTTGAACTGAAAGCCCTAAGTAAACTTTTTTCTTGAAGTTCCCTTTGGTGGTGGTGGCTGTCCCAGCAATAGGAAACTAGCTGGGACAAAAAGTGATTGAGGACCACACCTGGCCTGCACACACACAGGTTCGTACCCAGACACAAACATGCACATACAAAACAACAACCAAATAAATCATAATAATTTCTGTATGATCATTTAAAAGTGAGTGCCCACAAAAGATACTTGGGTGGCTTTATAAGGGAGATGAAAAGCTTGGAATCAAGAGACTAAAATTCTAGGTTTATTTTTATTATTAACTAGAAGATTCGCTCTTCTTTAGTTAAAAAGAAATTATAAGGAACTCAGTGCTTTATGTGGCCTCAAATGACATCCATTCTGACTCAGAGGAAATTGCTGTGTCCTAGAGCAATAAGCTTTGATTTCTTGGGTTGAAATCTCTTGTTTTCATATCCTATTGCAAACATTTAGGAATGGAAATGAAGTCATCCGACCTTATTGTTATTCACTTCTCGTAGCCTGCAACTAAGGGGCACGTCTTGACCCTGGTCATCTCCGAAAAATTGAGATTCAGGGTGGGAAGTCTCAAAGGATGACTTCTTCCACTCCTAGGGCTCTCATTCTTTTTACGGGGCTGGAGCCAATCATTATTAACAATTGTGGGAAGCAAGTGCCGATCTCACGGCTAACACAGAGGCTCTTATCACCCACCCTGCTCCTGTTAAACCAAAGCAACTTTTCAACACAGTCACAGAAGCCAGTGGAAGGACTGGCAATCCAGGGTTCTGAGGGGCTAGGAGAAGCAGTGTGTGCAAATCCCCAGAGCATTTGTTTGCAGGACAAGGAACTTTGCAATAGCTGGCTTACAAAAATGGGAACTGAAGTTCTAAGGGGGTGTAGGTACTGCTTGGAGCCTGTCACATGCAACGCTAACCCCAGATGGACTGACCTTGCAAGCGTGTATTCTATCCAGAACCCAGGCAGCTTTTCTCTGTACCTCTCTTTCACATTTTCTGGTCTCTAATGCATGACTTCCAAATCAACCTCATTTTGCCAACGGCTGCCTCTCCTCACTGGTCCACTTGTGAATCCCCAAGCCTTGTTCAGATGACCCTCAGTTCCTCTACACAATAGCTAATTTCTCCACTGTGGAGTGTTGGGAGTTCGTGTATGCCTATGTATGTTTGTGTGTGTGTGTGTGTGTGTGTGTATATGTGTGTGTGTGTGTGTGTGTGTGTGTGTGAGTCTCTGTGTGTGCCTGTGTGTATACGGCAGAAGTCAATGTTGGGGGTCCTCCTCAATTGCCTTACACCTTAATTTGTTGTTGATTTTTATATAATCTTTTATTCGTTTGAAAATTTCACATATGTATACATTGGTCATATCCATAATCAACTTTCCCTCTCAAATCCCCTGTGAGGGTTAACTTTGTCAAACCTGCCACCAAGAATCACCTGCAAAAAGGGTTTTAATGAGGAGGTTGCCTATATTGACACAGACTTTGGGCACATTTGTGGGGAATTGTCTTAAGTCAATTATGGGAAGACCCAGTCTACAGTGGACAATCCCGTTCCCTGTAGAGGGGGGCCTTGAGCTGTATAAGGATGGAGGAGCCATGCTGATCACAGCCAAGCAAGCCAGCATGCCTGCACTTGGTCCTCTCTGCTTTTGACCATGGATGTGACTAGTTGAAGTTCCTGCCTTCACTTCCCTTTGATGGACCATTACCTGGAACTGTGAGCTGAAATCAATCCTCGCTCTGCTAAGCTCCATTTTGTCAGGCGATTTTCACCCGCCGCAAACAGAAAGGAAGCTAGAACATCCCCCAGCACATTTCCTTCCAGCCGTCATGGTCTTTCATTTATGTTTTCAATAACCCACTGAGTCGGATTGGTGCCGTCTGCTGGAATACTGACTGGTCTTGTGTAGACCTTCCGGTCAGAGACAGGTGACCACACTTTCAGTGAGTTCATGGATGAAAGCTCTGTCACATCCAGGAGACATTTCCCAGTACTTCTCCCTACCCTCCACTCTTCCATTCTTTCCTCCCCTTCTTCTCCTTCTTTTTCTCCTTTTCCTTCTCCTCCTCCTCCTCCTCATTCTTCTTTTCCTACTTCTCCCCCTCCTCCCCTCCCACTTCCCCTCCCCTTTTCCTTCCTCCTCCTTCTCCCTCCTCCTCCTCTTCTTCTTCCTCTTCCTCTTCCTCTACTACTTCTTCTTCTTCTTCTTCTTCTTCTTCTTCTTCTTCTTCTTCTTCTTCTTCTTCTTCTTCTTCTTCTTCTTCTTCTTCTTCCTTTCTTTCCAGGCAATGTTGCCTGAGCCTTGCAAGACAGATTGGCTCAAAAAAATTTAGGGCTGAGCATGCAACGGTCACTTGTTCTCAGCACTCTTACCAGGACTGGGATTACAGGTACTTGGCTGCTGCACCTGGCTTTCTATCTAGGTGCTGGAGATCTGAGATCAGGTCTTCATGCTGTCTAAACCATCCCCCCGGCCTCTGTTTCAGCGTTTGGTTTTTGTTCTTTTTTTTCATTGCCTCTTTAAGAATTTCATACAATGTGTTTTCATCCTCGTCACCCCTCCCCCAGCTCTCCTTCCCACCCTACTTTGTGTCCTTTTTTTTTTCTTCATCCAAGTCTAATTTGTGCTGCATGTACATCTTCGGGTGTGTGGCCTTCCAGCCAGCAGCTGTCCATTGCCAATAGCTCCTCTTCTAGGAACAGCGATTGATTCCCCCCCTCTCCCCTCTCCATGCTGGGAGTTGGTCCAGCTTGAGCTAGTTCAGAGCTTGTGCATGTTGTCATGGTCACTGTGAGCTCACACGGGCAGCTGCCCTGTCCAGAAAACACCATCTCCTTACCGTCATCTGCCACCTCTGGTTCTTACGGTCTCCTCTTCTGCCCTGACCTCCGAGTCTGGGGAGGAGGGGCTATGACAGAGAAGACCCGCTTAGGGATGAGCACCCCACGATTATTCTCTGCCCTGCAGCCAGTTGTGGGTCTCCATGTTTATCACCATCTGCTGCAAATAGAAGCTTCCGTGAGGAGAGCTGAGAGAATGAACACGGGTGTAACGATAAGCCACTAAGAGTCGGTTTGATACTATTTCTTCCTTAGGTGTTCATGTCTCAGTGCGCAGTTGTTCCACCGACCCGGCTTTGGTCTGGCATGTCATTGAAGTTTCTAACCCACCAGTCGTCAGAGTCACAGGCGACTTCTAACGACATCCCATAGGATTGCTTTCTCCAGCATGAAGTGCTTTTGAAAATAAGGCGAACAGAGAGAAATAATTACAACCGAGACAGAGCAGTGGCTTCTCGGGAAACCTGAGATGTTTGCTTCCACTGGAATTGGAAGAACAGCTTTGTTTCTTAGTTTTTGTTTTTTAAAAAATGTCAAGAAAAGTTTTTTTTTTTTTAAGTAGATGATAAAGCAAAGGTGTTTGAGATGATACCCTATGCTATTAAGTAGAGTTTCTGGTTTCCACTCCCTGTGGGTGCTGTGATCTAACTCTCCTTTCCTCCCCCAGTAAATAGAATACAAAATACAGTTTGTTCCCTAAGGGCCTTGGGAAAATGGCATGGTTTTCTCTGAAGAAACCCTGGGTGTTGTTGAGAACCGTGAAGTCCTTCCTAAGCACCAAGCAGCTTTAGAATTTCTGGAAAGGCTTTCTGTTAGGCAGAGGCTACCTGTCTGATTGGCTTCCTACCAACAATGTGAAGCCAGAAAGATCATTAACATCAGCTGTAGACTCTCTCAAGTGTAGCCCAATCGTTTGAATCCACACAAGTAGCTATACTCCAGAGCATCTTTAAACACAAGCATGCAGTCATTTTGAAAAAAAAAAAAAAGCAATAAAGATATAATAATCCATAAACTAAGAAAATCTACACATCTTTTTGTATACATATACACACAGATAATATTTTAGCTAAATTATATTATATTTCCTGTTTTGTCTCTCCACCTATCCTTTCAGACTAACAAATTGAGCCTGGAATCGTAACTAGTGGTTATTAAACCATCTGGTTTGCAGTTTTCTGGGTCCCTGAGCTGTGAGCTTGTTTCACCTTCATGGTCACTTCTTGAGGAGGAAACATCATGAAGATGAAGACACCAGAGCCCGGAGAGGCTGAGTGACTTACCCAGATGCACAGAAATAGAAGATGGAAGCACCACGCCCACACCGGCCGTTGAATCTCCTCACTTGTGCTTGTATCTGAGCTTCCCCCTTTCCCTCCACGGAGGCTTGAAGGCAGGGAAGGGGGCAGGCGCACCCCAGGGAGAGAAGACGCTAAGCAAACAGGGCGATCCTGTGTATTCTTTGCAGCCTGGGGAGATGTGAATAAAGTTAGAGGCATGGCCTTCAGGAGGATTTTAGCTTTCAGTATTTTGATTCTTTGATGAATATTTAAGCCTGAGTCCCTGCGGTTAATTATGTTTACATACATTTTCCTTAATGTTTGCTGAGTAATAAAGACCATTGCGTTCGGTAATAGAATTTCGCAAACGGGGCTCTATGAAATGATCAATCTTCTATAAGTCTTATTCTCCCCTCCCCCCGCCAAAAGATGATGTCTTATTTCGCTTATTGGCCCTTTTCTCCAGTATCTTGTTCACTGTCCAGTATTGGAATGCAGCTGTCGCTATGAGATCTAGCCCAGCCTGGGTTACACAATAAGACCTACCTATTGGCTAAAACCAACAACATATCACAGGACACATACTAGGTAACATATTCCAAAGGAATATATTGTTAACTGTCTGAATACAAGTGCGATAATATATAAATAATAAAATGTGTATTACAGTGTCTTAGTGTTTGCATGGAGTTTTTCTTAATGAACAAACATGTAAAGTAGGAAAGAATATGTTATAAGCTCGAAGGGTTCTTAATCTTTTTGGCCTGACTCCATAAAGGTGCTCTTGGCTTGAGGAATTTCACATTCTTCAACACTTCTCTTGGATATTTATGGGGCCATTGGAATATTCTTTTCACAATTCCGTGTGATTTTGTTTACGAACTGGGTTGCAACCAGAGGGAAAGTAAAAATGAGTTCCAGAAATGCACTTCTAAGAAGTTAAATGCACGGTTCTTCTAGTTTGCTTTCCGTTGGTGTGGTGAACGCCATGACCAAAGGCAGCTTGAGGAGGAAGGGGTTGATTACAGCTTAGAGGTTACAGTCTGAGACGAGAGGCAAGCCAGGGCAAGGAGCTCAAAGCAGGAACTTAAATCAGAAACCACAGAGGATCACTGCTTAGTAGATCGCTTCCTCTGGCTTTCTCAGCTACCTTAAACAGCCCAGGCCCACCTGCCTAGAAATGGCACCCCTCACAGTGAGCTGGGCCCTCCCACATCAATCAACAACCAAGAAAATGCCGCCCTCAGTCATGACTACAGGGCAATTTGAAGGAGGCAATTCCTCAACTAGTGTTTCCTTTTCTCAGGTGCGTCTAGGTTTGTGTCAGATCGGCAAAACTGAACTCTGACAATGGTTATGACCAGCAACGGTAATCACTTGAGGGAGGAAAATCGAACTAAGTAGAAATTGACTCGACTGAAGTTCTTCCTTGTCATTAAAGTGTTCAAAATGTAGGCTTCTAAGAAATCAGAGGAGAGAGCTGGGGTGGAATTTAGGTGGTAAGGTGCTTGCTTAGCGTGTTAGAGTAAGCTACACATTGAAATCCTTGTTAAACAGAGTAAGTAATTTGTAAAAGAACAGTGAGAGAGAGGAAGCACGCTGAGGAAAATCGGCCTATTCTAAAGGGAGATGGGAAGAAAGAATTGAAGCAAAGCACAGAAAAGTAGAAAAACAAAAATATCAATCCAAACAAGTGTAATCAGAACAAAGAAACATAAATTATATTTTTAAAATACTAATAAAAATGAAGAGACTTTAATCATAGAATTTTATATTAAATAAACTCCAAATTATAATATCATTTAGTGAGATGGAAAGCTATTATGTAATATACCAGAAAACTGACAAAGTTGAGCCTGAAAATATCAGTAGCATAGGTTTAAAATTGGTTTGAAACATGTCCAAGACGGTGTTTGACTTTATGTGTATGTGTTTGGTTTGTGTGTGTGTGTGTGTGTGTGTGTTGTGTCTCTGTAACAGCAATGTGTTGAAAGTGAAAGCCAACAGAAGTATAAAACTATGAATGTTTTCAGGTGATATTTTAATATTAAATTATTGTAAATTAAGTCATCAGAAAGTTAATAATGATGTTGGAAGTTAAACATACAACACTGGATCATAATCACCTCTGTAGAACTTTCTGTCAACTCTTAGATAATCTTCATTCTTTCCAATTATCCAGGGAATGTTTTCAAAGACAGCACATTCCAGGCAGGCCATAAAGGACATTTCAATGAATAATTTTTAAAGCAACGTAGATTATAATAGCTGACCATAATATAGCAAGGTAGGAACTGAATTCCAGAAAGGGAGAAAAGAAAGAGGAAGAAAAAAGAGGCATGGCCTTCTAAAAAAGAAGGCATTGGGAGAAGAGGGAAGATGAAGAGAGGGGAGAGGAGGAGAAGGGAGGGGAAAAGAGGGAAGGGGAGGAGAGAAGAGGGGGCAGAGACACAGAGAAACTGAGAAATACACTAACATAGTCTTGCCTCCCTGGAAATTTAAAAATGGTTTGAAATTCTTTATGGGTCAGAAAGGAAACCATGGTGGAAATTATGAATAATGCACATTTGATATGATTCACGTGGCCACGTCTGGTAGCACAGTGAAAGCCATGTAGTGGTTTCCACAACCATGATCGCAGCTCTGATAATCACTGCTGCTGACACGGGGGCCTCCCCTGCTCTCGGATGTGGGCAGAGGTCTACGTTAAAGGAAGCACACAATCAAGCAATCTTTATACATCAGATGCTTCTGAATCAGAACAAGGCAAACAAAAGCAGGGGTGTATGTTCGCAGCCCGTCCGGTCTTCAGTCAACCAAGGACAACTCTTCCTCCAAAAGTCATGGGCTGTAGAACACAGGGAGAAAAATGTGCAGAGGTTGCACAGAGCTAACATCTGTCCTATAATGCCGGCTCTGCGGAATCCTTGGGATGGCATTGCCAACACCCTTTCCATAACATCATAATGTCAACATTCCAAAGGAGTCCAGAGCTTCTCAGGGTCTAGGATGCCAGAGAAAGGATGGAGAGCAATCCCCACAAATCCTGGGGTTTTGTATAAAGGCAACGGCTAGGAAGTAGGACATAGCAAAACTCTGCCAACACAGTTGAGTCTGGATACCATCCTAAGAATGCCCCATTTCAATAATTGGAAGAGCACCCAAATGAGCCAAAGCTTGGTGTCCCATGACAGCATCAGGTAATTATTCCTCTCTCTCCTTCCCTTTGTGTTGCCAGGGTGAGCAAAGAATGTGGGTAACACAGACTTCCTGTGGCAGATTTGGTCAGTTAGCCAACCAAAATTTTACATATATAATTTATATATAGATATATTTATATATATTACATATTATATATAGAATTTTTTTCTTCTCTCATATACTACATCCCAACCACAGTTTTCCCCCTTCCCTCCACTCCTCCCAGTTCTCCCCAGTCTCATCTCTCCTCTCCCCCAGATATTTTTAACACAGGCAAAGGCAACACATTATTAAAGGGATACTTTTGTAGATAGGTATTTTCTCTTCATATTGATTTCCTTTCATGTCATTACATTAAAAATGACTAAGTAAACGTGGTGATGACGTTAAACAAAAGCTGCCTGCCACACTTACTCTACAACTCCACAGCTCAAAGTGAAAGTTCAGGAAAGGATCAACCTTGAGAGTGAACCCCAAACCATGGGTCAACATTTACACAAAACACTCAGACCTTTTTCTAAGAAGATGAAATTCATTAAAATGGTTTCTCAGACAAGGTTTCACTATATAGTTTTGGCTAGCCCAGAACTCACTATGTAGACCAGGCTGGCCTAGAACCAGCAGAGATTCTCCTGCCTCTGCCTCATGAGCACTGGTATGAAAAGCACGTACCACAACAGCTGGTTCCTTGTTTTCTTTTGAAATCATACTCATTTCCTCTGGAGGCTCCATCCATCCATCCTAATGGCAGAGAAGAACGGAAATTGTCAACTGAGTATTCCTTCTGAATCAGGTCACTCTGAGACAAGCAACTTCCCTGAGAAAATAGCCACTATATTCAAGGGACACAACTTCCCCTCTGAGAAGTCCCTTTGGCCTTTCCTTCTTTCCAAAAACAGGCAAAGAAATTTCCAGAAGATGGGAACAGGAACTGGAAAGCATTGTTTATGGAAGAAGGCAGGAGAGGGATTCTGGGCAGCCCCAGTCACTGAGAAGACTGCAAGCTCCCCACATTACCAAGTGGAAAAGAAAATAGAAGCATCCTGTGGCAAAGGTCCTTGGAGCCTTTGGTGTTCCTGCTATGAGATTGCCCTTGTTCCTAAGCTGCTGACTAATGTTTGCTGGAGTTTAGCTAATGCCACTGTTCATTGTGGAGTGTCCTGTTGGCATCTGCTACTGATGCCCAACATCACTCAGACCTCTGCTCCTCATATCATTCAGATCTGTGCTCTCTGTGTCCTCTTGAATACTTGCCCTGGTCCCAAGCCTGGAATAGGACAGTGTTGTCCTCAGCATGTTGGTGAACGCTTACTGAGGTAGAAAGAGATCCAGACCACGAGGAACCCTTCTTGACCATGGTGGACACAGTGGGGATGCTAGGAAGGGTTGGGTCTAAGCGTCCTTGAGTTTCTAATGTGCCAACAATCCCTGCCCTAAGTTTGCTTAAGCCTGGTAGAGTAGGGAAGCTCAGAGTGATTCTGCAGAGATCAGTTGTACCTTTCAGAGTCTTTTGGCTTCCTCCTTCTTTGCTCCCCTTCTGTCCTTCCTCCTTTGTCAATAGTTTCCATTTCTTCTTCCTTTCTACCAGGAATTTTCACTTCCTCTGCTTGCTCTATAGGATGACATTGATCTTCCATGATCTAGCTGGACTCTGCTTTCCCAGTATTAGGGTTGCCTGTTTATGCCATCATCTCTAACTTTAAGAAAAACAAAAAACAAAAAGCATGGATTCTGAGGATCAAACCCAGGTCCTCAGTCCTGCAAGGCAAGTATTTTATCAACTAAGTTACCTTTCTAACCCTCCCCCTCTCTCTGATAGTTTCTTACTATGGAGCCCAGGATAAACTCAAACTCGGGATATTCCAGCCTTAGCCTCATGATTCTCCTAGATGTCAGTATCACAAGGACACCTCATCCATGCCTGTAATCTACCTGTCTGTCCATGCCCATCTTTGGGCAGCCTTCATTGTCTAATTTTCGATTAAATTTGAAAACTACTGAGTACAACACACCAGGATAGTTCAGTGCACACCCATTGCTGGACTAGAGTAGACTCACCCATCACTTCAACACCCTCCACAAATGACATCAGGGCTACCAACAGACCTTCCAGAGTTCCAAACAGACTGCATTTCCTGTCAAACTGACAGCCATATTTGCAAGTCCAATATTTATAATATGATGGATAAAATAAACTTGGGGGGTTCCCAGCATGAATCAAGTGGCATGCTAAATGCTTTACATGAGTTATAGCAGTTACCCTTCCCAACAACCCAGCAATTTGCATATCTATAATTATCTATACTTTACTGATGACAGCATGGGGTTCAAAGACATGAAGTCACAAACCTAAAGTTAAAAAGTAGAAAACAGCAGAGCTAAGCACTGAACAACTCTGGCTTCTCTATCACTGCAGAACTTAAGTGTATTTTACCAACTGCAGAGAACTGAGCCCTGCACAGCAGTGAAATTCTAGACCCGCAAACCAGAAGCCCTTTGTAACAATCCATTCTTTCAAGTCAGGTGCCTTGCCCTCTGTCGTCCCCAGAATTATGCATTCTGCTCCACAAATTGCTAACCAACCACCCAAATATTATACTTCCTAAAAGCACCACCAACACTGTCAGAACAGCAAACAGAAGCAGAGATAAGCGGGGCGAAGCACAAGACAGTGTGTCCTCGGACGTGGGCAGCCTGGCAGCAAAGCAAACAGGCCTGTGAAATTTAATAGGAAGGCAACTCAGCTGGAGAATGCTATGAAGGGCTTCAGGGCTCTCACCTTTTGTTTAAAATACTTGGCTCAGGAAGAAAAAATTAATCTGGAAGAGTAGATTTTAGAAAGCTGAGCTACACTCCTAAAATGCCACACAGTCCGTGCTAAATGGGGAGACTATGCCATCTTAGAGTATCAAGCGCACTCTGACTTTTTTGCTTTTTTGCTGATCTATTTGGTGAGGGGAGGGGGAGAGGGAGGGAGGGAGGGAGGGAGGGAGGGAGGGAGGGAGGGAGGGAGGGAGAGAGAAAGAGACTGTTCTCTTTTCCCACCATACAGCTCCCAGAGACCAAACTCAGGTCCTTGAGCCTGGCAGCAAGCACTGACTTTGACCTACTGAGCCCTCACTAGCTCACTTTCTTCTCCACCATCCGCGTCCTTTCTAGATGCCCTGGCCATCCCCTCACTCTCCTTGTACGTACATGTCCTCTAGCACATCTAGTTCAAAAGCAGTAGCAAGATCTGGCCAGGCAATCTGCAAGGAAAGGAAACCTATGATTACGCACTTCCTTCTGCTATCATTTGCAAAACGTATTGTCGATCCTTGACCCACCTCGAATGCCCCAGACTGAGTGTCTCAAGCTCTGTGATCTGTTCTTCGAGTCTTTCTAGCATGGCTTTGATAGTTACAGCAACAAACAACAAGGCTTGACATTCAAATGATGTGTTACCAAAAGGCTTCATTCCTTCATAACACTAGTAACAGGTTTCCCCAACTTAGGGGCTCCTGAGCGTCATCCCAACCTTCCTATGAAAACCCTTCTCTTTAAGAGTTCTCCAGCATCCCAGCGACACCAACAACCCACCTTGAACAACTGTTCAATTCCAAACACTAACAATGGGATCGGGGAGGTAGCTCAGTGGGTAAAGCGTTTGCCTTGCAAGCCTGAAGACCAAAGTTTGGCCACCAGAACTCACATGAAAATGCTGGGCATGGAGACATTGCCCTGCGATCCCAACATTGGGGAATTCAAAACAGGAGGATCCCTGGAACTCACTGATCAGCTTAACTAGTGAGTTTCTAGCCAATGAGAGAGGCTATCTCAAAGGAAGTGGTTACATTCCTGAAGATGGCACAGAAGCTTGTCCTCTAGTCTCCATATAAATACATGCGGAGACTTGTGTACCAGAACATACACATGAACACAGACATATGTGAAGAAATGCACTGGCCTCTCCCTTGAGTCCTTCTTTCCTCAGTTCCATCAACTCAATGTGTCCGCAAGTCTCATTAGCACTGCTTCCAAAACCATCATCCATCCAGCCTCCCTTAGCCACCTCATGTGACACTGGTCTTGTGCACTCTACAAAATCCCCACTCCCTCCCTCCCTCCCTCTCTCCCTATTTCATCCTTTTTCTCTTCAACCTATTCTTCAAAGGTCAGCCAGATTAATTTTCATAAAGTGCAAATTCCACCACGGCACTCTCCCCTTTTTTCCATCACTTTCAGAATAAGATCTAAAATCATACTTATTACCCATGGGGCTGTGTGGCCTGGCTCGAGGCCTCTCCTTAGCCTCATCTCATGCCACTCTGACCACAGTGCTTCTCTCTGTTCCTCAACTATTCTTAAACTCTGCTTCAAAGACTTTGTTTCCCCCGTGTGAGCTGTGCAATCCCCAGTCTCCATCCGGGTGGTTGCCCCGACTGAGCCTCAGGGTCTCCGCTCTAAATCCTGTTGCCAAAGAGCCTTTTCCAACCTTCTCATTTCAGCATCTCTCCCCCACTGTAGCTCCTGGATTTCTTTCTGGCAGCTTCCATAAATTCAGTTACCTTACTGGTTTACTTACTGACTCTGTCCTGCTGTGGCTCTAAGATCCAGCATAGATTCTGGAGGAAAGAACAGATAACAACAGACAGACAGACAGATGTTACTACATTTGCCAGCAGACTACCCGTTCCACCTTCAATAAAGCATATATTAGAAACAAAAACCAAAAAGGAGGAAATACCACTACTTCTAAAAAAAAGAAAAGCTTGTTAAGATTGCAGAAGATATTTTCTGATTTACATTGAGGGGAGTGGTAATAAATATGTTTACTTTCAGAGAGATAGAAATCTGGCCACACCCTCTTAGTTACTGAATTTGGGGCCTTTTGAAAATTATTATTTTCTCATCAATATTTTATGAGTAGAATTTTTGACCATCAGTAGCTGTCCTCTGGAAGAGCATCCCAGCTCTCAGGAAGCCCCTGGATGACTCCGTTCCGCCTGACCAGGCCTGGCTTAATTGAGTCCTGTGGGCTCAGATAGATTTGCACATGTGTCTACTAAGGTAGAAGCCCAGTGCCTCGCTGCAGCTTTGTAAACAAGAATCCCAAGGCATGTGGAGCGCTTTCAGAATGGGCCGCTGAAGAAATGCATACTCACTTATTTATTGAGTGTAGATTTCCTTAATGTTCCCAACTCTGCCTCAGGGTTGTCAGTTCAAATGTCACAGCTTACCAAAAACGCTGAGGAATCCAATGAGCAAGACACAAAACAAATGTTTTCCTAAGCTCAACAATTTTATTTTCCTTTGAAAAAAAAAAAAAAGCCTAGCTCCCCACCGCTGGGTATACAGGAATTGCTAGAGTTGAATCTTTGGAGAGGAACAAGGGATATCAGAAGGGAGCAAAGCTTTGGAAACCACAATGCCAGAAACCAAGCTCAAGCTCAAACCCATAAAAGGAAACTGGTACAGCTTCTCACATCTGGATGCAAGAGGAAAACATCAGGTTCCTGTCCAGTAATGTGTAGTCCAGAGGCTGATGAAGACAGAAGGGGCCATCTAGAAGTCTGATATTTCTAAATCCCAGTAACCACAGACAGAATAATAGGGCTTGAACTTAGTTTCTTTGGTTTGGACAAAAAAAAAATAAACACAAGAGACATATTATCATTTAGTAATCCTGCAGATGGATGGACTAAGCTCAAAATACCAGAGAAAAGTTATGTCCTGCCTTCTGAGCCTTGACCCAATTACTGGACAACCTGATGCAATCCTAAAATTCCTTTAACTAATCTCAGGCTAGCCTGACCCTACCCCAGCACACCCTTAACCAATCCCAAAACAGCCTGATTCATTCAATCCCAGGACACCTTGACCCAATCCTGGGGCACCCTATCCAACCCCAGGACACTGTTAGCCAGGGCTAAGACATTCTGACTTGACCCCAGGGTACCCGTAATCAACCCCAGACATAATCTTCTCAGATAAAAATGCATTCCTTCGATTTTATGGTCATGACTGTGGATTTTGTGTTGCTCAAAAAGGGAGAATACAAGTCAGGCCTGGTGGCACAGGCCTGTTGTCTCAGTTTACTTGGGAGCCTAAAGGAAGATTATTCCAAGTGCAGTTGGCTGCATGTTAGCAAGAACCTATCTAAAAAGTGAAAATGATGAATTTTTAAAGCTAATTGGGGTTGGGAATGTGGGCACTCCTTTAATCCCAGCACTCGGGAGGCAGAGGCAAATGGATCTCTCTGAGTTTGAGGCCAGCCTGGTCTATAAAACAAGTTCTAGGACAGGCTCCAAAGCTACATAGAAACCCTGAGGGAAAAAAACCCAAAAGACAAAAAATTGATTTAAACGTCTACAGATAACATCCTCAGTCAACAAAAATGAAACAAGTTGATGTGTTAACTTTCCGTGGATGTGACAAAGTTCCTGCAGAAATCAGTGGAAAGGAGAGATGGAGTGATAATTCATTTGTACTTTAATAAACAACGCTTGCCTGAAGTTCAGAGAGTAAAAGAGCTGCACTGATTAGCCTTACAGACCAGGCAGTGGTGACACACGCCTTTAATCCCAGCACTTGAGAGAAATATAAGATGGGAGGAGACAGCTCTCACACACAGTCTTATTCTGAGATTCCTGGAGGCAGGATTGCCATTTCAGACTGAGGTAGAGGTAAGAGCCAGTGTGGCTGGTCGTTTTGCTTTTCAGGCCTTAAGGTTGAACCCCAATTTCTGTCTCTGGATTTTTATTAATCATGTTACAGAGGAAGATTTGCTTTTGTTCATGAGCTCAGTGTTGGGTGGGTCAGTGACCTGCCCAGCAGGTCCTAAGTTACTCCAGGGTCTTGAAGAGGCACTATCTGAAAGACAACGGAGGAGAGAGAAACGGACGCCAAGCAGTATTCCTTGTCAAGGCATCCATTTATTGAAGCAAGTTTCATGTCTTAAACACTCCTCAGAAAGGAGCTAGGGCAAGGGGGAACTGAGGAAAGGGGGAAGGGAAGGAGGGGCTCTGTAGCTAGGCAACTAAGTGGGGCAGTTTGGCAGCTAAGCAGGGCAGTTGCAAGGTCAGTGGCTAGAACACCTGTTGTTAGTGATAAGCAGCAAGCCTTGAAGACACTCTGTGGTGCTTTCCAGAGCTTGAGTCTCCACGGTCAGCACGTAATGTTTTGGCTAACTTTAAGTTTTCTTGTCTCAAGATTTTTACTTCAAGGCCCTGTGAGATGTGAGAAAGGGGAAGCCTGAAATGGCTCCTGACAGGTCAGCTCCATTATCTCTGAGCCTGAGTGCCAGGGTATCAAAGCATCTCCTCATGGTGAGGAGTGAGGGGGCTGTAAATCTGCTCACCACATCATCAGGAAGCAGAAAGAGAAGGGGAGAAGAATACCATGAGCTGGGTATCTTCAACATATGGACTTTTGGAGGAGCATACCAGATCAGTCTCCCCATAGACCTCATGAGTTTAAATGGTTGGTCACCAGCTGGAGGCTCTTTGAGAAGGCTGTAGAACCTGTAGCATATGGAGCCTCACTGGAGGAAGCTGGTCACTGGGGTGGGCATGGGGATTTATAAACAGCCCTGCCTGGGATTCCTTTTCGTTTTCTGCTTCCTGATGACTGATGCGATGTGACTTGCAAGCCTCCCATTCCTGCTATCAAGGCTTCCCCGCTGTAATGGACTGTCTCCTCTCAAACTGTGAGCCAAAATAAATCCTTCCTCCTTCCTTGCTATAACATTGCTTTTGTAAGGTATTTGGTTATAGCAATAAGGAAAGTAACTAAAAGTTATAATGACCGGCATCACCACTCCTCGAGACTGTGTTCACCCTCTCCCAGCAATGTCTTCTTCAATAATCAGTGGACATTACCAATTTCTTTTCTGTCCACATTAACTCATTCTTCATGAAGTTGGGGGCGGGGAAAGTGGTAAGTGGGCCCAGCTCAATCTCTCCCTCACTTGACCATATCCTGGGTGAGTTATTTGTAGGTCATTGGGTCATTCTGAAATTATTTTATGGTGGACTTTATTTTTTTTTCTTTACATGCAGGATTTCCCATGAGAGGAAAAAGGAGAACAAAAAGCATGAAGACCTTCCAGAAGACCACCACTCTCCCCACGGTCAGATGCTACAGGACATGGAGGGTGTCTGGAGCACTGGGAGCAAAACTAAGGAGGTGGAAGAAGAGGGAGCTGCAGAGGAAGGACCTTTACTTAGTAAAACAGAACGACGAAAAGATGTGAAAGGTGGGAGCCCAACCCTGGTACCCACATAAGCATAGGGAGGGGGCTTACAAACCAAGATTCTGGAGCTGCGGGCCCTGCCCAGGACAAGGAGAAAGCTAGTGGCACAAGAAAACACTAATACGTATATTATATTTAGTATATTATACATATATAATATGCAGCAAATTATATATAATATGTAATATACATTGTTATAAAGCAAGTCTGCCAAGCTACTACCATCCATGGTGAAACTTTTTGGCTCAAAAACTCTACTTTTCATATTACTTGCTTTTTTTCATTGTTATGAAACAATACCTGAAAAGAAGAACATAGGAATGGGAGGGTTTATTTTCATGCACTTATCTTTTAAAACATCTTTGTTAATCCTTTGTGAATTTTACATAAATTTTTACTATAGTCACCTCAGTGATAATACTATTATAATAATACTATATTCACCTCGACTTCTCTCCCTAACTCCTCCCAAATCTACCTCTTCCAAATCTGTGTCCTTTTAAAAAAAAAATAATCCATTGAGTTCAATTTACACAGTCTAATAACTCTTGGGTCACCACTGGAGCATGGTCAACCTACCAGGGGCCACATCCTTCAAGAGAACTAACTTTCACAGATGCTATTGATGGTCAATAGAACCTCAGCAAGGGGCGAGACGTCATCGGCACCTCCCCATTCCATGCGTAGATTTATATCTGTTTTGTACTTGCAGTTATTATGCGTGCTTTCACAACACTGTGAGTTCATGTACACTCTGCTCTGCTTCACTCCAGCTCCTGTGAAATGGTACTTCTCTCCTCTGCGCCATTCTGACAAAAGAAGGTCTCACCCAAACCTTATTCAAGAGATTCATTGTTGGGGGGGGAGGGGGGGTTGGTGATCCAAGAGAGTGGCTGCCTCTGCCAGGGTGAAAAAAAGGCAGCAGCAGACGGAACAGGTGCAGGACTTAAACAGGGCTTCTTAGGGGGCAGAGTTTTTCCAGGGAGAAGATTTTTAGGGTGAGAACTGATCCGGTTTCAGTCCCTTGAGCTCAGAATGACTAGATCTCTGCTTAGGGATTGGTTGGTTTTCTGCACAGGGATTGGTTCATTTCCTACTCAGGAATTTGTTAGTTTTCTGCTTAGATAGTCAGGGACAGATTTGACTCTGGTTTCAGGGCCAAAGTGTGTTGAGGGAGGCTGCTTGTTTGTTCCTGGTCACTTAGACCTGAAATAATCACTCAGAAAGCTACATTATTTGCAATACTGTTTGGCCAATAGCTTAAACATATTGCTAGCTAGCTCTTATATCCTAAACTAACCCATTTCCATTAATTTGTGCATCACGAGGTTATGGCCTACTGGCAAAGTTTCTGCAGACTCCAGATGAGGCACCTGTCCCCAGTGGCAGCTAATGGCTTCTCCCTGACTCTGCCTACTCTCTCTCTATATCTCTTTCAACCTGGCTTTACCCTGTTAAGCTATTGGCCAAAAGCAGCTTCTTTATTAACAAATAAAAGCAACACATATACAGAAGGACTTCCCACACCAAAAGTATGTTTCTTCCATGGCGCTTTTTAACCTTTTGGGTTGAATTTCAGGACTAAGTCATATTTCTTTCTCTGATTCTGATCCTAGAATCCTTTGACACTGGTTTCAGGGTCAGGGTATATTTCTTTGGTTCTGGGTTCAGGACTAAAGTATTTCTTTCACTGGCTTGGGTCTCAGAACCAGAATATGTTTCTTTCACTGGCTCAGGTCTCAGAGCCAGGGTGAGTTTCTTGGGCTGGCCCTTTTCCCCACATTGGTGCTACTGTTGAACCTGTGAGCATATCTTGCCAGGCTGGTTGCTAATCAAACTCAAAGAGTTCACAGCTGGTCAAGATTTTACTTAATTAAAAGAAATTCTCAGAGAGAGGATCTGATGGAAGTGTGTGGAGCTTACACTTGGTGATACACTGTCTTTGGCAAGGGGGTCCTCAAGTCTTTGTCCCTTACTTTGCTTTTGCATATTTATAATTGGGTTCCTCCATGCTGAGTGGAGCTTCTAAACCTAGTGAGGTTCAAACCTGAATCCCAGAGACTTTCCCATTAGGAGAATAGCTACTAGCCAATGAGAGCTCTCTACAAGACTGAAGAACAAACCTTGCCTCGTGCCAACAGAGGGTGTCTTCTGAGTCATGGTAACGGTGCTGTACCTGATACGCATAATGTCAGCGGAGATGGAGACAGGTCACAGCACCTTCTTCTTCTACTCTTGCAAATGCTATTTTTTAATGAAGTGGGTTTTTATTAGTTTATTTTCGAGACAATGGTTTCTATTTATTCATTTATGTATTTCTAGACCCAGCCTCGTGTATCACAGGCTGGCCTCTTATTCCCTCTATAACAAAGGATGTCCTTGAACTCCAGATCCTCCTGCTTCCATGGAGTGCTGGATGACAGCTATGTAGCAGTGATCAAGTTTGCACTGGGGATCAAACCTGGGGCTCTCTGGATCCTAGGCAAGCACTCTGGCCACTAAAGTATCAAGTGAGCTACACCCCCATTCTCCTAGCAGATTCTCCTTCCTCCCCCCTTTTTGTCCCTTCCTTTCAGCCTCTCCTGTTATCTACCCACAGAATTACTTTAGTACCAAAGACAAGGACTTTCTACCCTGGTGCTATTCACGTTGCCTGAGCTGAGACAACTTGAGAGAGAGGCAAGCTGTCTACATTCCCATGTCTTCCTCTAGCTAAAGGCATCAAATGCATAGTGGATCTGCTAAGTGGACCTCAATGACAGAGGGACAAACCAAGAAGTGTTTGTCCCTCATTTACAGTCTGAAAGACAAGAGGTCTCCTGGTCATGGACATGGAGCTAATAGTGCTAAAGAGATTGACAAAATGCATTTGCCAAATTCTCCCAATGACCTCTGGTGCCCCAGTCGCACAGAGTCTAAGTTCACATTGTGCAGACACAGTGTACTTTTTGGAAACTTACAGTTTGATCCCCAGAAAAAAAAAATCCTCATTGCAGTGACATTTCAGAGCTATGAACACATGACCCTGATAATGGATTAGAGAATGGATTGCCTGCAAAGCCCATTATACTTCTTAGTCCTCAAGGAGAACTTTGGGGGAAGCAAAGAAGAGAAATGACTGACAGGCAACAAAGGGGGAAGGAAAAGGAGGGGAGCCCCTTTGCTTTGGGATAAAAGCTTTGGCTTTAAAGCAGCGCAAGTGCCATCATCAGAGCTTCGAAGGTGATGCTCACATCAAAGGCTCTACCCATCTGCTGTTAGTCACTTCCTAAGGGTCTCTGGTGAGCCTGAGCTTTCCCAGATACCACACACATCCATATTGATTCTCTCCCAGCTTTCTCACCTTCCCAGTGCGTCTTTCCCTCCAATTCTGTTTGGAGACCAAGGTCCATCTAGCTTTCTCACCTCAGCTATACGTGTCTTTATGCCACCAGCTGGGTGACAGGAACTTCAGAGTTTCCAATGGAAGCCACATTCGGTTGTTGTTCGCCCAGCAAATACTTGCTGTGCATCGGGCACTGCCCCAAGAACCGAAAACATTCTGGAGAATAAAACCAATTTAAAAAATGTATTATCCAGTCTCCTCGCCATCCCTGTCTTTCAGAGAACATTTCTGTGGGCGGTGGTTCTGAGCATCCTTTCCGTCCACGGGTGGTCCCATCTGGGCCGAGTAAATCTTCTCAGATGGTTGGCACACACTCCCTCCATACGTAGTGTTTGGGGAACGTTTATCCTTGAGCCTGAGTTCGGAATCTGATTGCTGCACCCCTTTCAAGGCTGTGTGTTTCTTATTTTCCTCCCACGTGTAAGTGATTAGACTTTTCTTCCATCTGAGGGTGTCCTCCCACTTCTGACCCTAAACGCTCAGGAAATTACAAAGCAAGTTTCCAATGGATGCTTTTGCCAGAACTAGGCAGGTTTCCACATCTGCCAACTGGCGTTCCCTTCATCCTGCAAGCCTGACACGATACCGAAGGAGGAGAAGTGGGAGCCCAGTGTCCCAGCTGACTGTAGGGCTGATGAGAGGCAGAAGCAAGACTGACTTTCCTTACCTGATGAAATACCTAGAGAAATGTTAGTATTTCAAATGGAATTGTGTATGTGTATGAGTGTGTGTGTGTGTGACAGAGACAGAGTCAAGCATGTTTGAAAAAGAAATGGGTTTGCTTTTAAATGCACAGTGATTTTTGGAATCTAAGTGTAGGCAAAGGGCAGAGATGATAGACTGAAGAGTCCTAGGTCCTTCTTCATCCAAGAGCTGTGTACTGGATGCAACTGAAACCACAGCGCTTGCTTATAATCTGTTTCTGTTCAAGGGTATCAAGGAAAACTCCGGAGACTGTAGATCAAAAGAGGCTGCTCCAATTTATTCAGACTTGGGGAAAATTCATCTTTCAGACCAACATTGCGTAATTGGACATCCTGTCCAAACATGCTCACTAAGGCTGGGTCGTTTAGCAGAGCTTGACTGTTTTTCTGTCAAAACAGATTCACTGTAAGAAAAAAGAGAGGGCGAGGCAGTAGATAGATCCAAGATTCAGTGAGAGTAAAGGATCCTCCACAAGCACGCTGTGGAGTGATGTGTAATTTGCCTCTGATCTCAGGGACTTGTCTTCTGTGGTACAACCTGGAGTATGCTGTGCACTAATTTCTCTGTTTCCTGGTCCCCTGAGATCTGAGGAGTACCGGCCACACATTCCTGAAGCCAAGAACTCCACCGTGCCTTCCCTGCCACGGTGGACTGTACGCTGAGAACCGTAAGCCCAAATAAGTCCTTCCTCTTGTCTGAGACTGCTTTTTCGTTCCTGGCTGCCCAGACCCAAAATAGTCACAGAAACTGTATTAACAAAAACACTGCTAGGCTCATCACTTAAGTGTATTGCTAGCTAGTTCTTATATCTTTTTTCTTTTTCTTTTAAAAAATATTTATTTAGTTAAAACATTTTTCTTTTTTAAGATTTATTTATTTATTATATATACAGTTTTCTGTCTATCTGTATGCTTGCTGGCCAGAAGAGAGCACCAGATCTCACTAAAAATGGCTGTGAGACACCATGTGGTTGCTGCGAATTGAACTCAGGACCTCTGGAAGAGCAGTCAGTGCTCTTAACCTCTGAGCCATCTCTCCAGCCCAAAGTTTTTCTTTTTTATTCATTTTATTGAGCTATGTATTTTTTTCTTTGCTCCCCTCCCTTTCTCTCCCCTCCCCGTCAACCCTCTCTCAAGGTCCCAATGCTTCCAATTTACTCAGGAGATCTTGTTTTTTTCTACTTCCCATGTAGATATTGGGATAGCTACACCAGCTTGTTTCTTAGATCCATTTGATAGGAATTTTTTTTCCCAACCCTTTAATCAGAAGTGATGTCTGTCTTTGAGGTTGAGCTGTGTTTCTTGTATGCAGAAGAAGGATGGATTCTGTTTTTGTATCCAATCTGTTAGCCTATGTCTTTTTATAGGTGAGTTGATTCTATTTATATTAAAGGATATTTAATCATCAGTGATTGCTATTTCCTGCTAATTTAGCTTTCATTGTTGGTGATGTTATTTTGTGTGTTTTTCTCTTCATTGGGATTTTCTGCTGTAAGATCATCAATTATCTGTGTTTTTGTGGATGTAGCCAACTTCCATGGGTTGGAGCTTTCCTTCCAGTACTTTGAGTAGGGCTGGGTTTGTGGCTAGATATTGGTTAAATCTGGTTTTGTCATGGAATATATTTTTTTGTCCTTCCATGGTGATTGAAAGTTTTGTTGGGTATAGTAGTCTGGGCTGGCTTCTGTGGTCTCTTAATGTCTGCATAACGTTTGACCAGAACATTCTGGCTTTCATTTTCTCCATTGAGAAATCAGGTGTAATTCTGATAGATCTGCCTTTATATGTTACTTGGCCTTTTTCCTTTGCAACTCTGAATATTCTTTCTTTATTCTGTATGTTTAGTGTTTTGATTATTATGTGGCGAGAGAACTTTTTTTGGATCCAGTCTATTTGGTGTTCTGTAAGCTTCTTGTTTCTTCATAGGTATATCTTTCTTCAGGTTGGGAAAATTTTCTTCTATGATTTTGTTAAATATATTTTCTGTGCTTTTGAGTTGAACTTCTTCTTCTATACCTGTTATTCTTAGGTTTGGTCTTTTTATGGTGTCCCATATTTCCTGGATATTTTGTGTTAAGTTTTGTTAGATTTAATGTTTTCTTTGACTGATGAGTCTATTTCCTCTATTGTATCTCTAGTACTTGAGATTCTCTCTTCCATCTCTTGTATTCTGTTGTTTATATTTGCATTTGTGGTCCCTGATTATTTTCTCATAATTTTTGTTTCTATGATTCCTTCAGCTTATGTTTTCTTTATTGTCTCTATTTCAGTTTCAAGTCTTGAAAATTTTTTTCATATGTTTGCTTTTTTGTTTTCTTTAAGGAACTTGTTGATGTCTTCCAATGTTTTGTCTTTTCCCCCATTTCTTTGAGGGGAATTTTATTTCCTCTTTAAGGGCCTCAAACATTCTCCTAAAGTTATTTTTTGGATCATTTTATTCTGCCTCATCTATATTTGATTGTTCAAGTCTTGCTGTTGTAGGGTCACTAGTTTTTACTGGTGTCGTGTTGCTCTTTGTGGTTTTGTGTGTGTTCTTACCTTGTCTACCCATCTTTTCCTCTGATTGGTGTAGCTGGGGCTGACTATGACTCTGGTGATCAATCTTCCAGGTGCTGTCAGTTCTTTCCTCTGATTCCACCTCATTTAACAAAGCATCAGCCAGCCTTGGTTTGTCCCAATTTATATTTTCCAGAAAATAAGAGAGCTGGTGGTGATGAGCCTTTCTCTGTAAACTGGTGTTGAAGCAGTGGCCAACAGCACCCTGTAGGAAATGTAGAGGCTTGGCTCCAAATTCCATCAGTTTCTACTGTGCGTCCCTGGCCAAGTCCTTTAGCCTCTCTCTGTTATTATCTCTCCACCACTGTATCAGAGTCCTCTTGCCACAAAGAAAATGACCACACATTGGTAGATTAAAACATCTGCTAATTATGCCCATTTTTATGGGTCAGGAAACTGATTGAACCTTAGCTTACTCTTGTCTTCGGCATTTCCATGCAACTCTGGGGTTTGGGCAAGATCTATTTCTTTGCAGACTTAGAACTTGTGGTGGCTTGTCTTCTTGAAGGCTTTGAACCCAACACTATTTCTAAGGGACTCAATAGACTATGTCAGACTTGACAAGATAAGCCCCCCTTTTTTGTTTGTTTTTATTTCTGGGTATGAGTGTTTGGCCTGCATGTAGGCATGGATACCATATGTGTGTGGCACCTGTTGGAGCCAAAAAAGGACATCAGATCTCCTGGAACTGGAGTTGCAGATGGTTATTAGCTACCACACAAGTTCTAGGAAACAAATGTGTGTCCTCTGGAAAAGCAACAAGTGGTCTTGGGCAGTGAGCCATTTCTCCAATCCCATAAGTTCTTCCTTGATCACTTTAGAGACAAGTGATTAGGGTCTTTAACTACGAAATTCCTTCATCTTTTCCATGTAGTAGCATAGCTATGGGAATGTTGGCTGATCATATTCACCAGCCCAGATCACATCCAAGGAGAGGGTTCATCTAGGATGTGCGCCATAGTGTGTCAGAGTCACAGGCACCTTAGAATTCGGCCTGTCATACCCTATACAATCCGATACAATGAAGATTCGGGTCCCACCTCATAGTTTCATCTTGAATACTCAATTCACATGGTGGGCCCCGTGCTAGGAGCTGGGGAATTCAAACAATAGTAACCTAAACCTCATTTGAAGAGAAGTCACAAGCCAGGCATGGCTATGTCTGCATGTCATCCACCTCTTGGGAGGCAGATAAAAGAGGATCAGATGTCAAGGCCAATCTTGGTTACATAGAAAGTTTGAGGACAGCCTGGGTTACATGAAACAGCAGGAAAAGTAACAACAACAAAATTAAATTAAAGCAGCGTTTCTCTGTCATTAACAGCTTGCCCGTGATGCAAAAGTTGGCAAGAAGCATTAGAGCTTTAATATAACCAAACAACTTTTTGATAGATTAAAAAAAAAAAAACCTATGTTTTCTTGGCATATGGAAGCCACTGTCAGAAATAAGAAGTGCTGACACCAGGCAAACTCTGTTATCCACAGGGTTATTATTTCCACTCTCCACAGCCCCTGGTTTGGCTTCTAGCTTTCAGTCAGAAGCAGCTATTTGGCTTCTAGAGTCTACGTGGACAAGTCAATTCTAACCTGGTGGTGTATGAGCCCCTGCTACCTGGGTTGAAACACTGGGAAGCTTGTCTAAAGCACCACCCCTTAGCAAATCTCAGAAGCAATGGGCACCGGTGCACCTTCTCCTAGACTGAAAGTTTTTTGGGAGGCTCCACCACACTTCCAGGACTGAGAATTACTACCCTACCCAGTGGGCATTCATTGCCCCATCCTGAACACTAAAATCCCCTTTAAAGTAGTTCCAAAGGGTTGTGGAGATGGTTCGGTCCATAAAGGGCTTGCCTTGAAAGAATGAAAACCTGAGTTCAGTCCCCTGGAACTCACGTAAAACTGCAGGAGGCGCTAGATGTGGCGGTGCACACTTGGACTCCCAGCACTGGGGTGGTCCAGAAAGGAGGGTCCCTAAAGCTTGCTGACCAGCCAGCCTGGTGACATGAAAGACCCTGTTTCAAAGGTGATGGAGGGCTAAAGATGGCACCCAGGGTTGTCCTCTGGTCTCCACAGACATGGGCATGGTGGCTCATGCAGGCAAGGTAAGGTGCGTTTATGTAGCCTGTGCTACATGGTGAGGCCCTTTCTCAAAATAAACATAAGCAGTGTGGGTGCAGTTCAATGCTAGAGTATGCGCCATGTATGCATGAGGGCGTGGGTTCAATCTCCAGCGGCGTTTGTCTTTCTTCTTAAGAGGGAAAGACTAGTTCAGTAATATGGCTGTTTTTGTTCTAAAGGGCTCAGAGTTAAGTAGGAAGATGCTTTTTTTCTGTGCCCAAAGAGAAGTATTTTCAGCATCAAGGGCATGGGATTAATTTTGAGGTTATAAGCACATATTTTTAATTTTTTCCCCAGTTTTCTATGAGTATGTGTTATCTCCAGGGCTTAATCCCTTCCAGAGATGGCCTTCATACATCTTCTCCTCCTCCTTATTCCACCCAGACCCCCTAAGAATCATTACTAAGGATGGAATTTTAAAGTTACCCAAATATCCCGGTTATCTCAATAAAATAAAGAGCAGCCACCTCCCTCACTTCCCTGGCCCCCTTCTAATCTCCAGGGCCTCCATCTCCACTCAACAGTACATCCCAATCTGGGTGGGACTACCTCTGTTGCCTGCTAAATGGACAACCCCTGAGTCCAGCAGAATGAGTCAAAAAAGCAGACACGTATCGGCTAAGGAGGCTTCAGCAAAGGCTCAAGAAGCTGGATTCTACTTCTAAGATAATGCGGGGCTAGCGGAGACCATTCGAGATGAGAAGCCATGTGTGGTCCGGTGCCTGGTGTCTAAAGGGGAAGTGTTGAAATAGGAGCGGCGGCGGGGCCGCTTGGCTAGCTTATGCCCGAAATAACAACACACAAACTGTATTCATTTAAGAACTGCTTGGCCCATGAACTCTAGCCCTTACAGGCTAATTCTCGCACCTGGACTAGCCCATTTCTAATGATGTGTGTAAGCACCCCAAGGTGCGCTTACCAGGAAGTCTAGCCTCCGTCCATCCTGGTGTCTCTGCTCCAGAGAGCAGAGCTGTCGGGTCTCTCTCGGAGCAGAGCAGAGTCTGACCTCACTTCCTCTTCCGCCCAGAATTCTATTCTGTTTACTCCTCCCATCTATGTTCTAACCTATCAGGGCCAGCCAAGCAGTTTCTTTTATTGCTCAGCCAATGAAATCAACAGATTGATATGACACTCCCACATCAGGGAAGCCCCTCCTTTCATATCACACATATCTGAAAAAGTCCTGAGAGGCACTCCAGGGACCAGAGCAGCTGGAAGAAAAACAGAGTGTCTGCTCAGACAGCCATTTTCACTGTCCTCTGCCCATGCGCGTGTCCCCAAGCAATTATCAAGAATCTGTGAAATACCAGATACCCCCCTAAACCATGGTAGCCCACCATGACCTTACTCCACCAAAAAATGTTTAGAACTGGAGAGGTGGCTGTCATTTAAATGCTTGCTATGTAAGCATGAGCACCCGAGTTTGATACCTAGTACCTCTGTGATAAATCTAGCATGGCAGCACACATCAGACATCCCTACAGAAGAAGGAGAAAGATGCATTTCTGAAGTTCATAGCCCAGGCAGTCTAGCCTAACAGGCAAGTTCCAGGCCAATGAGAGACCCCATCTAGACAAAAAGGTGGACAGTGCATGAGAAACAACACCTAAGAGTGACCTCCACCCTCCACATGTGCCTGCAGTTATCACCCTTCACATGTGCCTGCAGTGACCACTACCTTCCACATGCGCCTTCAGTGACCTCTACCCTCCACATGTACCTGCAGTGACCACTACCTTCCACATGTACCTGCAGTAATCACCCTTCACGTGTGCCTGCAGTGACCTCCACTCAGAAAGAGCGATTCTGAGTCATGTTTTCATATCTAATTTGTGTTTCTAGGGAGAGCTGTTCAGTAAAGTTTATTTCTTTCTCTGGTTTTTTTTTTTGTTGTTGTTGTTGTTTTTTTTTTTTTTTTTTTTTTGAGACAGGGTTTCTCTCTGTATGTAGCATTGGAGCCTGTCCTGGAACTCACTCTGTAGACCAGGCTGGCCTTGAACTCACAGACATCCACCTGCCTCTGCCTCCTGAGTGCTGGCACTAAAGGCACACGCCACCACCGTCCAGCTCTTTCTCTGGCTTTAATCCTTTGAGAAATTCAGGTCTTCCACTCAGCCTCCAGGCAGTGTTGGAGAAGCACACAGCACCCCTGGCTGAAGAAGCACAAAACACACAACAGCCCATACCCTCCGCAACAGCAGGGTCCCTCCTTCCTGGAGGGAAAGGAAATACATGAACAATAGCTAAGAGCAGGGCTGGCCCTCAGAGGAAACCTTTAGAGAAAATCTAAAGGACCCAGTGCCCTAACTTATCCCCCGGGGTTCATGTGTGGGGAATGAATCACCCTTCCCTGCATCCTTGGGAGACAGAATGCACCTAAGAAACTCATAAATCCTGAGCTGGCCAGTAGGGAAGGTGGTGGTTAACAAATACGTCAATGAAATTGTTTGCTCTAGGATTTAGAATCCTTTATTATGTTTTTAATATAAAGGAGCTTCGGGGCTAGAAGGAGGGCTCAGAAGGTAAAGTGTTTGTTTTGAAACCATGAGGAACTAAATCTGGACTCCCGCACTCGGATAAAAGTCAGGCGCAACAGCAAGCAGCTACTATAATCCCAGCACCGCAGAGGCGGAGACCAGAGGATTCCTGGAGGTTGCTGGCCAGCCAGCCTAGCTGAACTGACGGATAGCAACTGAGAAATGTCAGGCAAGGCTTTCCCCTGGTCTCTATGCACACCACACACATATGCACCTGCATGTACAAACACACACACACACAATCATTTTAAGAACAATTGTAGCATCTATAAGTTTTATTGAAACTTTGTACTTGTGTGTGTGTGTGCACACGGACACGCACGCACACACAAACATTCATGTGGACATTGGGCATCTTCCCTTAGTCTCTCAACCTTATTTTCTGATAGAGTCTCTCACTGAACCTAGGGCTTACCCATATACCAAGACTAGCTGGCCAGCAAGCCCGCGGGATACTCCTGTCTCTGCCTCCTGAGTACTGGGATCACAGGCATGGACCACCACACCTGGCTTTTATAATGCAGGTTCTGGGGATCAGACTTGGGTCCTCACAATTGCACAGAGAGCACTTTACCGAATGAACTAACTCCCCAGCCCCAACCGAAGCGACTTCTGCACTCATTAGCCATGCTATATAGCTGGGGGGAAAAACTATGTGGTCAACAAATCCTACAGTATTTACCATCTGGCCTCTGAGGGGAAAGTTTGCCAAGCTCTGCAAAGAGCTAGAATTCTGCATCCGTGCAGCCAAAGAAAGGGCTTACACAACTGGCTCCTTAATTGACCTGATTAAACAGTCATGCTGGGGCCCTAATGATATTCTCCACTCGGTTAAATCCCCACAATGAGGGCCCACTCATCTCACAGAGCTCAGCAGAATAGCTCCCTGATGATGCACCTGGCTGAGAGAATTACCCTTGCTCCTCATCACACTCTCGGAGCATCCGCAGAAGCATACCCAAGCATCACCTAGGAGTCATCCAGTATCCTTTAATAGCTAGAGTCCTCAAAAGAACCAGAGCTGACAGAAAAAAAAATACATTTATTAAAGTGAGATTCATTGACTTGGCTAAAGGACGTGGTCCTTTTAATCCAACAATGGCTGTCTCACGGTGGGCTTTCTAAGGATACAGTAGTTATTCAGCCCAAGAGGCTGAATGCCTCGGCAGTCCCAACAGGGCACTGAAGGCCTGGGGGTTTCCTGGAGAGCTGCTGGTCTTCAGTCTGTCAGAATTCCAAAGAAGTTGGGGTGAACCTGCTGGTGAGTGTGCAAGCAAGTGGGTGTGATGTGGGATTCCGCTCTGTATGCTGTGAATAACATTGGTTAATAAAGAAACTGTCTTAGGCCTGTGCAGGGAATAGAGGTAGGAGGGGTAAAGTAAGCTGAATGCTGGGAGAAAGGAGGTGGAATCAGAGAGAAGCTATGTAGCCCTGCTGGAGAGAGTCACCAGAACTTTACCAGGTAAGCCACAGCCTCATGGCGATACACAGATTACTAGAAATGAGTTAATGTGTAAGAGTCAGCCAATAAGAAGCTAGAGCTAATGGGTCAAGCAATGATTTAAATAATATAGCTTCTGTGTGATTATTTCAGGGCTGAGCAGCCGGGAACAAAACAAGCGGTCCTCTTACTACACGGGTAGGAAAGCAGTTTCTTTCGGCCGTGTCCATCTGGACTACCGCCAGAGGGTGTCGCTCACACTGAGAGTCAATCTTCCTGCTTAAAATAATCTGACCAAGAAAACTCCTAGCAGTGCCAAGAGGCTTGAGATTAGCCACCACACATCCCCACCACAGCTTCCACTCCATCCTTGGCGTCTTGGCGGAGGGTGTGTGTTGTCGTCTCTTGTCATGCCCTGTGGTCAGACTCCCCCAAATTAACCCCGTTCATGCTAGCATAAGAACAAACAGATCAGAGATTCTGGAATACAACCTTTCTCTTCTTGCTTGTCTGAAACAGATTGGAGGTTGCCAACCCCTCTGGGAGCTATGAATCCACCTCTAATCTCCTCACGTCTGACTGACAGCAAGGCTGCAGGACGGAGCGGTGAATTATCCCCTCCAACAGCAAAGAGCTTCCGAATACACGACGTGAGTCCTCTTTCTTCTCCTAATCTGTTGCAGACGGAGAAGATGTGTCCCCACAGAAGGGTGAGCTGAGAAATTGTGGAGCAGTGGCTGGGTGGGGTGGGGGGACCAGAGGGATAGGAGAAAGTGGTTTTGACTCACCAGGATTCTCACCTTGCCCCTGCCCCTGGCCTGCTACTGTATCCGATTAGAAAGAAATGAAACACTGCAAGTATGAGAACAGTACTGCGAAACTTCACCTGGGGATCTTTCAAAAGAAGAAACACATGGGCATTTAGTTCCTCTCTAAGTCACTAATGAGTTCATGCCCATTGCCTGATAAGATAATGTTTTGAATGTGTTGGATTAAATACAATTATTATTATTATTTTAAAATACTTATTTTGATATTCCTATGTGTATGTATGTGTGAGTGTATGCCTGTATATAGGTTCCCACAGGGGTCAGAAGAGGGTGCTGGATCCCATGGAGCAGGAGTTACAGGCAGTTGTGAACCTCCCAACATGGATGCTGGGGTCTGAATCTCAGATCTCTGCAAGAATAGTAGATGCTTTTAACCATTGAGCTATCTATCTCTCCAGCTCCTACTATTACTTTGTTATGTGACCGAAAAAATCGTGTAAAATTACAAGAAGGAGAAGGAGGAGAAGGAGGAGGAGGGGAGGAGGAGGAGGAAGAGAAGGAGGGGGAGAAGAAGAAGAAGAAGAAGAAGAAGAAGAAGAAGAAGAAGAAGAAGAAGAAGAAGAAGAAGAAGAAGAAGAAGAAGAAGAAGAAGAAGAAGAAGAAGAAGAAGAAGAAGAAGAAGAAGAAGAAGAAGAAGAAGAAGAAGAAGAAAGAAGAAGAAGAAAAGAAGAAGAAACGCTCATAGTCACATAGTCACAGTTCTCTGAGGTTCCTGGTGCATTTTCTATCCTTGGACACCTCTGTTTTGCCTCACTGCCCTGAGTTTCTGCTGGGTGTGTGTGTCCACGGCAGGTGTTACAGGTCTGGTCTTTGCCTCTTGATGCCCTGAAGGCCCTTTTGTCTTTCCTACCACTAACGGGTTAACTGATCTTCCCAAAGGTTCGTTTCACTTTGCAAGAAATCTGCTTCCCCAAAACTTCAGAATTATTCTGAATCTTTAATTCCTAATACACATCTATCCAGAAAATCCAAATCCAATTGCTCACTTGGGTGACAAATGTCTGTAGGGAACTTCCTACACAGTGTGTGATCCATGTAGGTGGCTAAAACACAGGTCCTGATCACTAGACCCTTAGGGTCTAATTGGGACAGGTCCAGATAGAGACACATTATCTGTAAGTCACAAAGGGACAGAGACCCTTTAAGAGGATGCCGTGAGAATCCTGAGGGAAACTAACTCTGAGAAGACTTTAGTACGGTCTCCAGTGGAGGCGATAAGTTAATAGAAGCCAAAAATCAGAATCTTGGAAGATGAATGGAAGTGAGGGGGAGAGAAGACAAGAGAGCAATAGAAGCTGGGGTTGGTAGGATGCAAGCAGAAGAGATGCAAACTTAGGTCCTAGATTAAAAGTAGGGATGATGGTGAATGACAGTGGCCATGGTGATGGTGGCGTGAGCCGTCTAAAGAAAGTTGGCAAGGCGCATTGGGGTGGACAGCAAAGCTGGCGGGGCTGAGAGATGGAAGGTTCCCTCATCTTTCACTGCAAAGAGAGCTCCACATGAGGTCAGCTCTGGTCAGAGCAGATGAGGTTGTCTTGTTCCATCTGAGGTCCATTGTCAACAAGCTGTGGCTCTTCGGGGTGAACCCTGAAAACAGCTTATTTTTTTGAAAGAGCCGCTGCACTAAACCTATATAGAGATACTTAACTCTGCTGCCAGAGAAGGTGACAAGGCCAAGAAAAGCCCGCCTTTCACCTCACCGAGTCTCAGTCTTCCATCTGGGAAGGCAGAGGCTTGATTCCTGAGGTCATGCTGGCCTCTAATGTCGGTCAGCTCCTACATCCTGCTTCAGGACAGCTATATAACTCCCTGTCTGGTGTCTTTCTGGTCAGTCCTGGAAGATGCTGAAAGAAACAAAACATGGTCCTATTTCCTGCCATGTGGGAGACAGGATGTGGTTTAACTCCTTCACTGGGACCAAGTTCCTGCGGTGAGTCCAGCCTCCTACTCCCCAGTATACCCTCACCCTGCCAGATGCCTACTTAGAAGGAGCGGAGACACTCAACTCTCAGTAGCCCAGAGCCATCAGCCACCAGTCTCGGTTACTGGCCGCATTCCCGGCTCTTTGGAAACAAAGAACTCAAGATGTGGATAGAGATAGCAATTGCTGGGACTTCTCACTACTGAGGAAGCCAAGACGTCCTGAGAAAAGTCCTCTGGTGAGGAGTCAAGGATGCTATTCCACTGGCCACACATGGGCAAGAGGAGGCACTAATTGCATAAGAGAAACTGGTGTTGTCCAGGAAGAGCTTGGGACCTGTTGACAACCCAAGGGAACAAGGCAAGAAGAGAGCGATGAGATGAGGGTAATATGATCTGAAACAGGGAGAACGAAGGAGACAATGACAATTATCATTTCTCTGGTGACTCGGTCAAAATGCCCAATGTAAGCGACCTGTGGAAGGAAGACCATGATGGGGACACCCACTGAAACAGCTTACCTGAGCTAATGGGAGCCCACCAACTCTGGCCAGACAGGGAAGGAACCAACATAGGACCAAACTAGGCCCTTGGAATGAGGGTGACAGTTGCATGGCTGGGGCAGACTGTGGGACTACTGGCATTGGGACCAGGATTTATCCTTACTGCTTGTACTGACGTTTTGGAACCCATTCTCTTTGGAGGGATACTGTGTTCAGCCTGGATATGGTAAAAAAAAAAAAAAAAAAAAAAAAAAAAAGTCCTTCTTTGGTCCTTCCTCAAAGCAATGTGCCTTAACCTGTAGTAGGAGAGGCCGCTTGTTCATCCTGTCTGACCGGCTAGCTTACACCTGAACTAACCACACAGAAATTTTATTAATTAAAACACTGCCTGGCCCATTAGCTCTAGTTTCTTACTGGCTAACTCTTATGTCTTAATTTAGCCCATTTCTATTCATCTGTGTATCGCCATGTGGCAGTGGCTTACCGGGAAAGATTCTAATCAGCATCCATCTTAGGCGGAGGATCCATGGCTTCTCCCTGACTCCACTTTCTTCCTCCCAGAATTCAGTTCTATATTTCTCCACCTACCTAAGTTCTGCCCTACCAGGGGCCCAGAGCAGTTTCTTTATTAACCAATGAAAGCAACAGAAAGACAGAAGACACCATTACCCTCTCTGAGGTGTGGATAGGGAGTAGTGGGGTGGGGAGTAGAGGGAACAGGAGGAGGGGAGGGAGTTGGGACTGGGATTGGAATGTAAAATGAAAAAAAAAGATAGTTTTTAATAAAAATAAAAATAGAAAAATGTTTTTAAAAAAGATAGAAGGCAAAAGTCAATGACAGTCACTCTCATCGATGAGAGGCATGAACAAGAGCCCCCTGTTGTAGAATACAATTTGTCTTATGCTGTGTCCATGGTAACTGGTCCCTTTGCAGGCACGTATGACCCGTCTGCCCCAGCAGGGCCCTTTCCGGCACCTTATGGACATGAAGGCAGAGAAGAGATTGGCAGGCTGGAAGGAACGCCGTAGCCGCTTTGGTGACGTCGGCATGCACAAGTGCTATCAGTTTGGACAGATCTTCTCCCCTTTCCAGGCTCTGGCCACCACGGTGAGTTTCAAATTAAGTCTTGGGGTGGGGCACTAATGCCAGACCTCAGTTCTTTGTCCTTTTCAGGAGTGTATTAGTCAGTTCTGGCCCCCCAATAATGCTAAGTAACAAAAGATTAAAACTAAACTCCAAAGCTCGGTATCTTAGAACGGCAGGTATCTAATCTCCTGACTGTAGAAAAATAGACTCCTGCCCTTGCTCACAGAACAGGAAGGGATGAGTTGAGCGTCATCTTCCCATCTGCCATTATACGTGGTCTCCTAAGTAGCATGGGACCGTTACCTGTCAAAGAAGTCCAGGGGAAGATTAGAGGCAGTGGCTCCAGCTTTGATGTTCAGAGATGAGAGGATTTCAAGGGAAGATGTAGACTGGAAAGAAGGTGTAATTATCGTATCACCGAAACATGGGTGTGCCTCTGCACTCCTTGGAAAGCTTGATTAAAACATAGATCCCAGGGACTGAGGGAGATGATGTGACGGGCTGAGCAAGCATGAGGGCCTGAGCTCAAACTCCCAAGCATCTACGGAAAATCTCAGCATGGCCCCATTCATGCCTGTGATTCTAGCACTGTGGGTGGGGTGGGGCAGAAACTGGAGGATCCCTGGGACACAGTGGATGCCAGCCTAGCTATAGGTTCAGCCAGAGAGCCCATATCTCAAGAAAATAAGGAAGGGTATGATAGAGCAGGGCATCTACCATGTTCTTCTGACCTCCATGTGTCCATGGATGCACACACACAACACATACACAAGCGCGCATGATAGATCCCAGACTTTCATGATTTCAATTATGCAGACCATTCTGGGCAGGTGGGGGCTTGTAACTGCCTTCTTAAATGATTCCGTACCTAGTGCCTTTGTATGTTATTGCTGAGTCAGTATACACCAACCTTGCTCCTGCTGTGGCACACATCAAAAATTATGCATCTTGGAAGGCACCATGGGCAAACTTAGGAGGCCACTAATGGGGTTAAACAATCAGAACCCAAACATGGAAGAGACAGGATATCAACTACAACTAGTCGGAGCCCTCCATGGTATGCTGGAACCGACAGTTACACATCTGTACAAATGCGAATCTGAACATCAGAATCAGCCAGGCATTCGGAAGTGTTAGCATCAAAGTCTTTCTCAGAACAGCTAAAGAAGAAGTTTGGAGTTGGATCCCAGACATCGCATCAATAGGTCTCGAAGCCCTGTGGATGAAGTGGCCGACTCATTCTGGTTTTCCCAAGAATGGCATACTTGCCCCCAACTTTTAGCATGTGAAGCCGTGAGCCTCCGAAAACCCATAGGTCCCTGTTCTAAAAGCAAATATCCCAGCTCCCTGAGACCAGAGCAAACCAGATGGTTGTCACACTAACTACCAGTGACTCCCATGGGAAGCTGAACTTGGAAACTATTATTCTCCAAACTTTCTAGAAACTAGCCAGATTCTTCTTCTGTCCACTGGCCAATAGTCTTCAGACACTGTATTTGTGTCAGACCCAAACCCGGGAATGAAATACAAGCCCCCAACCCCAAGGAGCTTGTGTGTTTCCAGGGAAACACTGCCACCAACCAAAAGAGTGTTGCAGATGCAATCGTGGTAAGTAGCTAAGGAGAATAGGTATAAACTAGTTACTCAGAAGGAGTTAGCACTGCTTTCTAAAAACACACATACACACACACACACATACACACACACACACACACACACACACACACACACACACGCACACACATGGTCTTCCTGCAGAACAAGTCCCAAGAAGTGGATGCGGTTGCCTTCTCCGTGGGAAGAGACTGTCTCCCATGTGCTAGAAGGTACAGCGCTCAGCTGTTGAGTTCTTAACACATGTCATGTTGTAGCAGTGACCTTTCTGTTGCGTGACAAAAACACTTTGACCAAAATCACATGGGGAAGGAAAGGGTTTATCTGGGCTTATGACTTCAGAGAAACAGAGCCCACAATAGCAGTGATACTTGCAGCATGACGGCATCAGGATGATGGCTGATGATGATATTCCACAAACAGGAAGCAGAGAGAACAGGAACTGGAGCAAGGCTGTAAACTCTCAAAGCTAGCCCCCAATGATGTATTTCCTCCAGCAAGGCCCCACCTCCTAAAGGTCCACAACCTCTCCCAAACAACACCCCTCGGGGTACTCAAATATGTGAGCCCACAGGGGCCATTTCTCAATCAAACGTCTCCTGGGTGCAGCACTGAAGACTGCGCAAACACTTAATCCTGATGCACTCTGCCCAATCAGCACCATGCTCACTCTCCACGTGGTATCAAGAGCTAGAAAAAAAAAAAAAAAAAAAACAGTTAACTATCTGTAACTGTTGGTATTCCAGAGCAAAGCCTGGGTTTGAACCTGGGGAGGTTCAGCAGGTTGCTCCCATTGACAGCTTCCTTTGATGATGTCAACAGGTGTTCTCAACCCCCATGCTCCTCCTCACCATGATTCTTCTCTGACTCGTAGGAGATGCGAAGGCTGGTGTTGCCCCGAGACTTGCCCGTAAGTTCTCGAATGCAGAGAATAAACACTTCATCCCTCAGTGACATGAGTCTCCGGGATTTACCCCTGTCTCCCACAGAGCTGAGCTTGGGAAAGGATGACAGCCACCACGAGAAAGAGAAATCAGTGAGCCACATGAAGACGCCTTTATTCCCCCCAATAGTTAAAGCAACAAAATATAATGACATGAAATAAAATTGTAAAACTGCCTTGTGGTCCCTCCCTGCAAGGCTGTGCACGAAAACAGGTAATATCAGGGCATCCAAGACTGTTGAGCCAGCCTCGCAGGTGACAATGCTCAGATCGTCCAAGAGATGGCCTTATCGTTCCCTGTGTGGATGCTCTGGGGAGGGCTGAACCATTAGGAAGTATCAAAGGCAACTCTTTCCTCAGAAGTCTGAAAACTTACAAACTTAGGGGAGGAGAAAGCTGCGATCCCACGCACCAGGAGTCCTGTTCTTTTTGCAGTGCAGTTGCTGGTTGGCTATCCCCAGGATATCAGAGGGTCATGAGTGTGGCTAATCACAGAGCATGCTAGATACACTGCTAATGCTGGGGAGGGGGTGAGGAGAGAGAGTGGTGGAGGGAGGGAGAGAAACAGAGAGAGGAGAGAAATTCTGCCTGTGCCTCTCTTGGGTTCCTCTTTGGCTGGAATGGGGTTCTCATCTCTACCCTAACTTCAAAGGGTACTACTAAAGTCATATTGGGAGTGTACTGAGGGAGAAGATCTGGTGTCAAGGAAGGATACATGGCTGATGGGAAAGCAATTAAGATCTGGGACACTTGGTGGTTTATAAGCCAGACCGTTACAAGGAGAAATGTCTATTTACACTCAATGAAAAGAAGCCTTTTTTTATATGATTTCTAAACACCAATAGGCTGCTCCCCCAAATGGATTCTTCCACTCTAAACAGCTTCCATTTTCTTTGGATGTTTAAAAACAATATATACTCATAATAAAAACTGTTCAAAAGTATTTTTAAAGATAATTGCCACAGATCTCAGTATTTGAAGACAATATGTGCTTGCATCTGGAACTTTTGGATCATCTGTCAATGTCTTATCCTCACTGAATATGGCTGTACTTGGGTCAAGGTCTGTTTTCAGTAGTTGGTATTAAGTGGTTTCATGGCACCACGGCCCAACATCTCTTAAAGGGTCAACTGCTTCCGGGTCATCAGTTTCACTTCCAGGTCATCAATAAAACCACTAGACCATATGGATGCACAATATATCTCTCAATTAGATTAGAAATAGTTTATTCTAGAACCCAAAATGAGTAACCATAGCCACAAAGCACAGATTCCAGTTACTCCAAATTCAATACTCCAATTGGTAACAATGTAATGAAGTTTTAATTGTAACAAAACAAAGAAAATCATAAGACTCTTTCAAATACCTTTGTGGGAGATCAGGTAGGCAGCTTAAAAGCACAATGGGGAGATCTCTGCTGTAGGCCTCAGATGCCATCTGATGACATTCTCTGTCTCTTGGTCAGGTGAAGCTTGTGGTCTGTTATTCTATCCCAACAGGTTTAACTTTCCAGTCACAGAGATGTGAGGTTAGAGGGGTGGGCAAGGAGTTGCTATCAAAGGGCTAAAGATAGTCCAAGATATATAAAGATAGTTATATTTAGGCTCTAGACCAGCAACATCCCAACCCCTCCATATCACTGAAGTTCTGATCTGCGAATGAGCCTTGCAGATGTGTCTGCAGAATGTGTGGTTCTCAAAGAGGCCTCAGAATGGGCACAGAACACACCCAGACAGCAAATTCTCAGCACAAAGGTTTTATTACCCAGGAGGGATAGGATGGGGGCTGTCCTAGGAGCAAAGATAGCAGCAGGTGCTTCTGCAGGAGTGGGTTTCTAAAGAGAAAGGGGAAGTCTGTTAGCAGGAGGAGGAGGAAGAGGAAGAAAAAGAAAAGGAGGAAAAGAGGAGGAGGAGGAGGAAGAAAAAAAAAGGAGAGGATGAGGAAGAGGAAGAAAAAGAAAAGAGCAGAGGAGGAGAAAGAGGAAGAGGAAGAAAAAGAAAATGAGGAGAAAAAGAGGAGGAGGAGAAAAGCCCACCACAAAACTATTCCTCTCTCTTTCCTCAGTCAACCTTTTCCAGAGATTCATGAACCCTTTCATCTGTAAAAGGCACACACACACACACACACACACAAAATTATGATGTTGATTTCTGAACTACATGAGGTAGAGGACACCAGTTTCCCTCCTTTTTGTCACCTCCCCCCATCCCCGCCAATGAAGTAAGCAGCTCCTGTAAAGCTCTGTGGGTTCACTTGTCTTCTTGCTTCTCTTCTCCCAAGTATCATCAACAGGCACATTGGGAGTGTGTGTGTGTGTGTGTGTGTGTGTGTGTGTGTGTGTGTGTGTGTTTCTCATCTCTTTTGGCCCAAAGGTTTGCAAATGAGAATCCACAAATCTTTTTTAAATAAAGCTTTATTAGACCACAGACCTGTTCATTTGTTAACACATTGTGTATTGATGTGAGCTACTCCTCACAGTTAACTAGTTGCCAGGAAGACCCCACAGCTCATAGTTAAAATATTGACTATCTCACCCTTTCTAGAAAAGGTTGCCACACTCTCTTAAGCCAAATTCCTCTCTACAGTTTCTATATCTCTTAGCTCTGAATTTTTAAAGTGGAATCAATTATAATATCTTATTTACACTCAATTTAATGAATTTTTAGCTCTCTAAAGCCTAAGGTCCATGACTATGCTCATCTACACTTCCTATTTTAAGTATCAATTCAATTGCCACCAATACCAACATTCACTGAGTAGCATCCCTTATACTCAGTATATTGATTTGCTTAATTTCGTAACCATGATATGCACCAGGGAATCATATTATCCCCATTTTACAGAGGAGAAAATGAAGGTACAGCAACATAAATGCACATAGCTAGGAAGTAGCAGACTCAGCTGCTGGCCCTAGGAGATGTGGGTCTCAGCCCCTGTACACTCAGCACTGAGCGATCTTGCATGCTCTGCGATGGTTTCTTTCCCTTTTGCACCCCATCCTTTGGGTTCCCAACCCCTTCCTTCTTCCTGACTGAAGGCTCAAACAGAAGGCTCCTGTGTGCTCTCCTCTACCCGCTAAGAGATCACACTGTCAGCAGAGGAAGCCAAGAATTTATCCAGGTCTTTGCCTAGAATGACCCACAGTGGGCATCCGCCTAAGGTGTCCCCACCATGGCCTTACTTACCAGCCTATGGACCACTTAACTTGGTCTCTGTTGGAAAGAAACCATCCTGCACATTCAGTGTGAGACCTGGTCGCCTGTGTGGAGGCTCTCCCATTGGGACAAACCACCCCTCTATCTGCTTACACTCCCGAAAGAAGAAAGATTTCCCACATATGGTTCTGCCCCGTGTAGGAGTCAGGGGTGGGGGAGTTAATCTCAGTGTGCTTCACCTGTGTGATTTCTTTTAGCCAAAATGTAACCTTCTACCCAGAACTTGAGCTGACCTGAAGCTCTGTGAATTCTAATGGATTGAAACAAGAACTTGAGAGACACAGGATAGATTTCCAACACTTTGACCGTACGCCCAAGGCTGGAAAGAACTGTCAGTTTCCTTCACAACTGCCAACAAATCTATTTTATTCACAGCTGTGTGGGAGCTCATTAAATTATACAGACCAAAATCTGCATGGGGGAATCACCATCTCCTTCTAGAACTTGACTGAGTTGGCACTCAGAGGTGAGAAGTGGCAATACTTACCCACATGGTCCTGTCTTGAGTCTCATTTCCTTGTCCCAGGAAGTGTGTTAAGGACTTCGGGGAGTTTGCCTCACTCGGTCCACACTACTGCTCAACTGAAATGTACCATTACAACGAAGGTAAGAAAATGGAAATTCCAAGAGTTTATTGCAGCTGATTTAAACAATCGGTGCCCCATTCATAATTTTACTGAGAATAAACCTTTTAGCTCTTTTATCTACCACATAAAAACGTAGTGTAGCACACTAACCTTCCCCTTCTAGAATCCCCTGGTGATTGAATTCCTTTCTTAACTGACTTTCTCCGTTGAGGAGTTCACCAGACATGCACTAGCCACACCCACCTTTGAGCTGACAGACACGGATCTGTGTGTGTGTGTGTGTGTGTGTGTGTGTGTGAACTCTTTCTCAGATTTTTTTTTGGGGGGGGGGCAAAAGAATTCTGGCCCTGGGACCTGCTAGGGCTGGGAAATTGCTGGTTTAAAGGGTATGTATGACTGGGAATGCTTGTAACAGGGAGAACCGTTAAAAATGAGAAAGAGAAAGAACAAAGAAATATAGATAGACGGAACCCACTGTGAGTAGACTTCTTAACCCTCGGATTTTTAACCCCTATCGTTTATCATGGCATCTTTAACTGAACCCTGAAAGGAAGTCTTAAAGGATGGAACTTTAAGAGTGCCCCCCCATGCACTGGTTTTGCTGGTTCCTACCCCAGCCTGCCCTGAACTTTTCTGGTCCCCACGCTCAGTCCTCTCGGTAAAATAATTCGGGCATTTGTGGCTGTCCACAGTTCCATTTTCTGGGATTTCAACTACCTCAATCCAACCTTGGTTCAAACACACAGAACAACAAAAAAACAATTTGAGAAATAAGCAATTCATAAATTTAAATTTGTGCATTATCTATAAGAGCGTGGAGAAACCACACACCGTGGGTCCCTTTCCCTCTCAGGGTATGAATCTCCCATTTACACCTCCACTCTATGTGGTACCTGCTTTCCAGCTGTCTCGGTTTGAAGATCAGTCCTCTTGAAAACACAGCACTTGTGTTCAAGTAACATTTATCTTACTTAATGTCCTCACAGTACAGGAGCAGTAAAGCCAGTAATTTTATCATCAAGTATTATGGTTATTGGTGAAAGTCTCCTGTCGTGCTTGATTTATAAATTAAACTTTATCACAGATGTATAGAAAAAACAGTGAATATAGATATAGATAGATAGAGATAGAGATAGAGATAGAGATAGAGATAGAGATAGAGATAGAGATAGAGATAGAGATAGATTAGTTCAGTACAATCCGTCTCAGATACTAAGAGTTTTAGAACATAGCCCTTCCAGATGAAGGGACACTGTACAACAAATACTAATGGCTTCATCCGCCACTGCTCCCCACCAGTGTCCTCTGATTGGAACTTCTGCCTTCCAGAGCTATACATAAAAATGAGAACACTGACTGACTGGCAGCTGAGTAGGGCAGGGAGGCTGATGGGGGAGCTTTGAAAGCTGCCCCATCATTTTAAGAGAGGCATGGTGGGATTGT